AACCTATAGATCTCTATGAAACATACCAACATATGCATAATGGGGAGTCTCAGAAGGAGCAGAAAAATAGAAAGGTATATAAAAATATGTGAAGAATTAATGTGTGTAAATTTACCAAATTATATGTAAAACATTAAATAAACTACACATCAAAAAAAAAAAAAACAACACCCCAAGGGACTCCAAGATACATTCAAAAATATCCACACCTAGACATATCATTATTAAAATATCAAAAGTTAACAATAAAGAGAATCTTGAAAGCAGCAGAAGAGAAGTGACTCATTCCACAGAAGCAATCCTCAATAAGAACAACAGCTGACTTCTCACCAGGAACCTTGGAAACTAAGTTAGCAGGATGACATACTGGTGTTGGTTACAATGTGGCATTTGCTAACTGTGCTTGTCTCCTGAAACTCTTAGAGAATTGAGGTCTTCAGCTTGTTTTGTTTGTTTGTGTGCTCATTTGTTTGTTTGTATGGTAGAGATTTTCATATAAAATCCACTGATAAGGAGCTTCCTTAGGTCCATCTCTCTTCTCTGCAGCCTGGCTACTGTTGTTCCTGTTGGTGCTTCTACATGAAAGGTCCTCAACTGTCTCTCATTCTTTGGTTGTGAAGTTAGTAGGATATGCATCTTGAGCAATTTTCTCAGTGGGCTTTCTAGGCATTTCACAGTGATGGTCATTCCAAGCCCTGACACAATCGGTGCCAGTAGCATGCAGGTATGACAGGTCCCTCTTTCCAGTAGAACAGACCAGGCTCCACAGGACAGGAATCTAGGAGCTCCTCACTTGGATGGGGTCGTGGAAGGTGACATTCAAAGATGCTGTGCGGTTTTAAATCTGGAGAAGCAGAATCAAGTGGGGAGGTTCTGGATGTTATCTGAACCAACTTCACAGCTTTCAGGGCTTTGTGGAGAGGATTAAATGAAATAATACAGTCATGCACCAAACATGCTTAGAACAGGTGCTGTTCAAGAAGTGTTGGTGTTAGCAATGAGAGGGTGGAGCAGAACAGCTGTTTATAAAGGAGAAGGCCCATTGAGGAAACTATTTTACAGAAACCACAGAGGTCATCTGGACTGGGATTAAGGGCCTGATGATTGTCTAGGGCAACCATTGAAAATGCAACAAGGAGTCTCCTGGGAAGAAACCAACAGTGTGGCAGCTGCAACAAGAGCCCAGAGAATCCCAGTGAACTTTGCCTATTGACAAATGATTCTCTGAACTCTGGTGTTTTCACCCTTTAAATGGAAATAGTTATACTACCTATCTCATAAGATTATTGCAATCATTTGTAAATGCTGAATGCTTTGCCTGGCACAAGATAACTCAATAAATGATGGTTGTGGTGGTAATGGTGATGGTGATGGTGGTGAGGGTGCTGGTGGTGGTGCTGATGGTGGTCGTGATGGTGGTGGTGGTGGTGGTGGTGGAGGCAGTGGTGGTGGTGATGGTGGTAGTGGTGATTGATGGCAGTGGCAGTGGTGGTGGTGACAGTGGTGTTGGTGATGATGGTGGTGGTGGTAGCAGCAATGATGGTAGTGATGGTGATGGTGCTTCTGGTGGTGCTGGTGGTGGTGTTGGTAGGGCTGGTGGTGGTGTTGGTAGGGCTGGTGGTGGTGATGGTAGTGTTGGTGGTGACAGTGGTGGTGGTGGCAGTGATAGTAGTGATGGTGGTGGTATGATGGTGGTGGCAGTGATGATAATGGTGGTGATGGTGATGGTGGTAATGGTGATGGTGGTGGTTGTGGTGGTGATGGTGGTAGTGGTTATGGTGTGATAGTGCTGGTGGTGGTGCCGGTGGTGATGGTCATGGTGGTGGTGGTTATGGTGCTGGTGGTGTTGGTGTTGGTGGTGATGGCAGTGATGGTGGTGCTGGTGGTGGTGCTGGCGGTGGTGGTGATGATGGTGGTGGTGGTGATGGTGGTGGTGGTGATGGTGTGATAGTGCTGGTGGTGGTGCCGGTGGTGGTGCTGGTGGTGATAATCATGGTGGTGGTGGTTATGGTGCTGGTGGTGGTGCTGTTGGTGGTGATGGCAGTGATGGTGGTGGTGGTGGTGGTGGTGCTGGCGGTGGTGGTGATGGTGCTGGTGGTGGTTATGGTGGTGGTGGTGGTGATGGTGGTGGCGGTGATGGTGTGATAGTGCTGGTGGTGGTGTCATTGGTGGTGCTGGTGGTGATGGTCATGGTGGTGGTGGTGATGGTGCTGGTGGTGGTGATGGTGCTGGCAGTGGTGATGGTGGTGGTGGTGGTGATGATGGTGGCGGTGATGGTGGTGGCGGTGTTGATGGTGGTAGCAGTAGTGGTGGTGATGGCAGTGATGGTGGTGCTTGTGGTGCTGGTGGTGGTGTGGTGTGGTGGTGGTGGCAGTGATGGTGGTGGTGGTGGTGATGGTGCTGGTGGTGCTGATGGTGGTAGTGATAGTGGTGGTAGTGGTGATAGTGGGGGTGGTGATGGCAGTGATGGTGGTGGTGGTGATGGGGGTGGTAGTGATAGTGATAGTGGTGATGGTGGTGGTGATGATGGAGATGATGGCAGAGATGATGATGATGGTGGTAGTAGTAATGATGGTGATGATGATGGCAGTGTTGGTGGTGATAATAGTGTTGGTGGTGATAATAGTGGTGGTGTTGTCTCAAGGAAGATTTTAAGAGACTCAGCTAGGGCAAACCCCACTCTGAAAGAACTAACTTCAATTAAGCTTGATTTGAGTAAAAGCCAAGGCTAGACACCTAAGCTTCAGAGGGAGAGAGAAGCTACTCTGAGTAAGAGTGGATAGGGAGTTGATTTTCGTGGGTGAGGATGGAGATTCTAACAGGAAGAGGGTCAGAAATGAGACCTCAAAAGACAAAGAACTTTTGGAAAGAAGAAAAATTATTCAGTGCGGAATTAACTTTTTGTCTTTGAATGTGCATTGTTAGCCCTTTTTGTGGTCTCTTTACATCATCTTCTGTAAAATCTGTGCTTCTCGCTAATAGTTTTGGAAAAGTGAACCTTTTTGTTTATCTTCAAGATGGCTTGAGTTCTGTCTTGAGTCCAGCATGTTATTAAAAACAGACTGACCCCATGCATGCAGGATACAGAAGAAAAGGTGCAGCTGACACCCAGGATGTATTATTACTGTGACCACAGTGAATCTAAAAGACTGTTCAGTGGATGAGGGACAGGAGATGCAGCTAAGGGCTAAGAGTGTGGTCAGTGAGACAGTGAAAGAGCTGAGTGACTCGACAACCCTAAGGGATTTGTATCAGGGAGAAGAAAGATGGTTTAAACTTCCAAGGAAGCCAGAGGATTACAGAGAAGTTAAGCCTGTGTTGAGAGTCTTCAGCAGAACAGCAGCAGACAGTGCACTCCACCCTGATGGTGGAGGTTGGTGTTTGTGCCTGAGAACCTTACTCTTGAGCCAGGAGTGTATGACCTTGGACTTGGGTTGGTGTGCAGTTTGCACTTCTTTTGTGTGTGTGAGTGATGATCTGGGAGATAGACCAAATTTCTAAGTCTCTAGAATATTCTTTGTGTGCTAATGACATAAGGTAACTTGATGCTCATGTCTAAAGTATCACTTAGACAAAAATAGATTAGGCAAGAGAGTTCAGAGGTAGCAAAAGCTGGCAAGACTTGCTCAATCAAGCTTGCAGTTCAGTACAAAAAGGACTTATTTGAATGCCTACTGTATGCTTAGCACTATACCTTTGTCTCCAAATTAGAAACACAAGACTGCCTTCATCTAATCAGCAAATATGTTCTAAGTGCCTACTCCATGTTAGGTTCCATGCACTGAAAATTGTCCCACATGCCTTGGATGTGACTTTTCTTCTTCCCTTTACCTCCTTGCAACTGTCCTCAATATTAAATCCTGTTTATAATTCATTCAACATTAATTTTACTGAAAAAGCATTTGGTTTAGCCAAAAAAAACATCAAACTCCATATACTTTTGTCAGTCTGAAAGTGGAAAATCAAACTGACCTTGTGTTATGATTTACTGTCTCTCCTCATCCCGGCCCCACAGGCCCATAAAGAAGAGAATCTGGTGGCTGTTTTTTCTCAATAGTACCATGACTTCATAATCTGAATTATATCCAATAATACTGATAGGATGGTTTTAAATTATATTGTCTTCAGTTTCATTTTATCAAGGAGGCTATCCCTGTTAGTGTTGTCTTGCACTTTGGGAAGTGAAGCCTATGTTGTTTCTATTAGGCTTTCAATTGTTGTTAGTGCCATGGATGCAATTTTCACCTTTTAAGTTCATCTAAATGTCAACACTTCTCTACCTGCCTCTTCCTGAACAGAGTATCTTTGCACTTTTCAAGAGTTAAATTGAGGGGTACAGTGGCTCACGCCTGTAATCCCAGCACTTTGGGAGGCTGAGGTGGGCAGATCACTTGAGCCCAGGAGTTCAAGATAAGCCTGGCCAACACGGCGAAACCAGTCTCTACCAAAATATATATGTATACAAAAATTAACCAAGTGTGGTGGTGCACGCCTGTGGTCCCGCCTGCTTGGGAGGCTGAGGCTGGAGAGTCAGTTGACCCCAGAAGGCAGAGGTTGCAGTGAGCTGGGATCACATCACTGCACTCCCACCTAGGTAACAGAGCTAGAACCTGTCTCAGAACAAAACAAAACAACAACAACAACAACAACAACTTAAAAAAATAGCTAAATTGAGGACTAAAATCTTAGATTCTTTTAGCGCTGCATAGACACTCTATGAACAGGGCCTCTTTTAGATTAACATTATATCCATATGTATTAATGTGCTGTGTTTAGGCAGGCCCACTTAAATCTCTTTTATCCCCCAGTTGGTGTTTTCTGCTTCCACTGATGCAAAATGGCTCTCCCAGGAAAGGGACATTCTCAAAGCTCAGCTTCTAACAGGGGCCTTTGCCTCTCTCAGGGGAGCTTAGAGAATGGGGGAATTGGCCCTTATGGGACAGAGTGGAAAAAGGGTGCTGAAAATAGACTCTTATATGACTGTATGTGGAATAGTGCTATACAATATGCCTAGCTCTTGGATTCATTTTTCTAGAACCAAGGAGTAGAGGTGGGGCACCCAAAACCCTATTCCAGCTGGGGCTCCAAATTCCTGTCTGTAGGATGGCCTCTGCCCGAGGTCACAAATGAGGAACACCATGAGGTTCAGGACTGTCTTCGGCACACTGGCTACGGGGACCAGGGGGCTACTCTGTGCTCTGTCCATCTTCATTGTTTAACCAGAAAGGATGTGCCCAAGCCTACAGGAGGGGCTGACAGCTCCTACAGGTTAGAAAGAGATGGGGTCCATAAGGGTCCCAAGTCCAGTGACTGAAACAACCCCATGGCCCCAGAGACAAAATTACAGTTCAAGTCACCATGTTCACAACTCTAACTTCAACACAAGACTCCCTCAATTGCCTCACTGTAAAACAGGTAAATAGGTGTAGTTGGAGATTCAGTGGCCAAGCCTGGGTCCCAGGTAAGGTGACTAACCATCCCAGTTTGCCTGACCAGAGAAGTTTCCCAGATACAGGACTTTGGGTTTTAAAGCCAGGAAAGTCCCAGGTAAGCAAGGCTGAGTTGATCCCCCTGGGAGGGAACTGATTTATTCAATTCTGGATAATTGAATAAACTCCACATCCTCACCAGGAATATTCTACTAAGTGATAATTAGTTACTCCTAAATTTGCCCGTTTCTCTTCCAAGACCTGGGTCCATTGGATGACGACCTTATCAACCCTCCTCACGCCCAGGCCCTGGCTCTCAGCCCTGCATTGACCTGTACCCCTTCTTCCTCAGGCAAGTCAGAAAGGAGACCCAGGAATGACAACCCATGTCTTTGGCTACACTGGTGAGGGCATTGGCCTGCTCCCTATCACATTTTTATTCAAGGTATTGTATTTGCAGACAAAAATGAAGTCCCACAAATGTGGGACTCCACCTGATTCTCAAAAAGAGAATAAATCACAAGTACATTTTAAAAGTTACATTTAAGATTAGCAAACTGGAATCAAATGATTGATACTTTATCCAGAAAGCAACACACATTCTTTTTTCATTTGTGCTTCTTTGTTAAAGCATCTTGCCTCCCAGAGTTATAACTCGTTCATCAGGAGCAAACACTGAAGCGCACTAGATAATACCTTTCAAGTGCGGTGGGTATGGTTCAGCAGGAATCTAATTATGGCAGAAAAACAGCAGCTATGACCACCAAACCGACAGAAATTGTGTGAAAGGCAATTTCTTAATTTCAGTCTTAAACTGTGCCTGGGACAATGTATGTGAAAGTCTGATGTCCGTGTGGATTCAAATCCTGATTCACTCAGGCATGGTACTTAACCTTCTAAGTCTCAGTTTTCTCATCTGTAAAATGGCATTCTTATCTCACACAGGCAGTTAGCCAAGGCCTGGTTTGCAGAAAGTGCTCAGCTGCTGTGACTCTTCAACCTTCCTGTGAGATGCCTTCTTTAACCCCACAGATGTGTCCCACGTGATGGCCAAGGCAGGTTCATCAATCATGGCTTCTCAAGGGAGCTGGAACAGAAGAGGAGGAGATGGGGGGTCCCAGGAAGGGCTGTGATCTGCCTGGGGTCCCACAATGAGAAACTGGAATGAGCTCTCCAGCCTCTTTCCACTACAACTGGCTGGCAGTCTCCCATAAGACAAGAAAATACAGTCAAAAAGGAAATTAGAGGGATTTTTGTTTTCATCCCTGTTCTTTTATTGATTTCATCTGTTCTTGGGTATTTTATTTGTTTGCTTGTTTGTTTTGATTTGGGTACTTTTTTTTAAATGAAGCTTCCATCAGGTAGGAGTAGGATGTAGAAATCTGAGTTGATGGCTCCATGGTATAAGATCATATCCTTCATTTGATGAGTAACAACATAATTTCTGCTTTGAGTCCCATTTTCTTGCAATGGAAGATTAATCTCAGGGTATCAAAATCATTGCATCTGAGCTTGGGCCTGCCCACATCACGGGAAGAGGAGAAGGATAGACAGATGATATCTCATGGAGGGTACCTGCGAGGATCCCTCATCCCTGGCCTTCAGTTTCCTCATCTGCCCTTGACCACAGGAGCCCTGGGAGGAAGCTCCCTCAGTGGCTCCTGCGCTGTTGCAGGCCCTCTACACATATCTGCTTCCTCATGGGAAGAGCAAGGCAGCCTCTGGTGAAAAGCAGCCCAAGGGTCTAAGAACCACACTGCCCTGCATCAGGGCCCCCAGAGGGAGAAAACAAAGGTCATGCTTTTGAACCTGGATGCCAGAAGAGAACAGCTGTGGGGAAAAGCACGTCTGGAACCAAGAAAAACATGTTTACCAGGGGCCATTCCTCATACCAGCTGCAGACAGGCTCAGGAAAGCCACAGGCTGCACTGTAGTTGTGACCTTGCATGTGGATGTAAGGCTCAGAAGGCTCCTCAAAGAACCTAACATGTTCCCAGAGACAGGCTGAGTCCGTTCTAACGTCTACCCACTCTGGCCACATCACTGCACCTGACTTCCCTGTATCATAAGTTAGAGAAATAGTATAGAGTCTGGGTGATGCTGGGTAGATGGGAGGGAATGGGATAGGAAGGGGAGAGACAGAGAGCAAGAGAGAAGGCTGTTTGGGATTTTGTCCATAACATATGCATATATATTTGTAAAGTCCATTATTTAAAATCCCTTTCATGGTTTCAGTTTCCTGTGGACCACTTTTCATGCCAATTTAAGTTCCTTGAAGGTAAGGAGATATGTGTGTATCTGCCAGCTTCACTGTGCCTTAACTCTTAGGCAATCAATAAATATTAGTAAATAAATCAAAGGATACCTGATATTCTAATAATGTCTTACTATTTTTAGGTGATTTGGACAAAGCACATGCACTGTATATGCATCTGAGAACCACATTTCTAGTTTAAAAAAATTATTTGTAGGCCAGACACAGTGGCTTATGCCTGTAATTCCAGCACTTTGGGAAGCCAAGGCAGGCGGATCACTTGAGGCCAGGAATTTGAGACCAGCCTGACCAACATAGCAAAACCCCGTCTCTACTAAAAATACAAAAAGTAGCTAGTCATGGTGGTGCATGCCTGTAATCCCAGCTACTCAAGAGGCTGAGGCATGAGAATCACTTGAACTATATATTTTTTAATTGCTGAGTGATATTCCATTTTATGAAGCTCGGTTTGCTTATACATTCTCCTGTTGATGAACATCTGGTATTTCCCATTTTCCTCTCCAAGGATTAGACATTCCTCCATAGTCTTCTTGTAAACATGTTTTCATTTCTCTTGGGAAAATGCCTAGGAGTGGAACTGCTGCGTCAAGGGGGTAGGTGTTTGTATAGTTTTATAAGAAGTTGCCACATCCTTACTAATATTTGGTGATAGTTATTCTTTAATTTTAAGTTAAATGTGTAGTGGTGTCTTATTGTGGTTTTAATTTTTATCTCCCTCATGAGTAATGATAAGTGTCTCTTTATATCCCTAATGGCTATTTATGTATCTTTCTGTGAACTGTCTATTCAAAGTGTTTCATTCATTTCTGATTGATTGTTTATCTTTTTATTATTGAGTTAAAAGAGATCTTTATAAACCCGGGATTTTAATCCTTTTTCAGATGTTTTGCAAATATTTTCTCCTAACTTATGGCTTGCCTATTTATTTTCTTAATGGTTATCACTTATCAGCAGAAGCATTTCATTTTGGCAGAGACAAATTTGTTCATTTTCCTTCACGTTTATTATTTTCTGTGGCCTGCTTGTCTATCAAACATTTGCCTATCTCCAGGTTATGAATATATTCTCCTGTATTTCCTCTAAAAGTTCTATGGTTTTATATTTAGCTCTGCAATAATGTCAAATTAATTTCTGTATATGATGTGAGACATAAGTTAAGGTTTTGTTTGTGTGTGTGTTTCCATCTGAACATTCAGTTAATACAGCATCATTTTTTGAAAAGACTTTTCTTCCCCCATGGATTGCTTTGGCACCTTTGCCAAACAAATGGCCACGTAAGCATGGGCCTGTTTCCAGCACTCTTCTCAGATCCATTGATCTATTTGTCAATGCCTATGCTAGTATCAGACTGTCTTGATTATCAAATCAACAATGTTGGTATTATAATGTTTTAAAAGTCACATAGTTTGAAAACTGCAAATTTATTTTCCTTTTCCAGGATTGTTACAGATACACTAGATTCTCTGTATGTCTATATAAATTTTAGAATCAGTCTGTAAATTTTGACAACAGATTCCTGCTAGCATTATTGCTGGAATTGCAATAACTCTACAGATCAATTTGCAGAGAACTGACGTCTCAACAGCATTTAGTCTTCCAATCTGCAAAAATGATACTCTGTGTGTGTTTTCTTTAATTTTGAAAAATTATTATACTTTAAGTTCTGAGATACATGTGCAGAGCATGCAGGTTTGTTCCAAAGGAATACATGTGCCATGGTATTTTGCTTCACCCATCAACCTATCATCTATATTAGGTATTTCTCCTAATGCCATCCCTCCTCTAGCCTCCCACCCCCTAAAAGGCCCCAGTGTGTGATGTTTCCCTCCCTGTATCCATGTGTTCTCATTGTTCAACTCCCACTATGATTAAGGACATGTAGTGTTTGGTTGTCTGTTCCTGTGTTAGTTTAGTAAGAATGATGGTTTCCAGCTTCATGCATGTCCCTGCAGGACATGAACTTATCCTTTTTTATGGCTGCATATTATTCCATGATGTATATGTGCCACATTTTTTTAAATCCAGTCTATCATTGATGGGTATTTGAGTTGGTCCCAAGTCTTTGCTATTGTGAACAGTGCTTCAATAAACATATGTGTGCATGTGTCTTTAGAATGATTTATAATCCTTTGAGTATATACTCAGTAATGGGATTGCCGGGTCAAATGGTATTTCTGGTTCTAGATCCTTGAGGATGTCACACTGTCTTCCACAATGGTGGAACTAATTTCCACTCCTACCAAGAGTGTAGAAGCATTCCTATTTCTCCACATCCTCTTCAGCATCTGTTGTTTCTTGACTTTTTTTTTTTTGAGATGGAGTCTCACTCTGTCACTCAGGCTGGAGTGCTGTGGCACGATCTTGACTCACTCTGCCTCCGGGGCTCAAACAATTCTCCTGCCTCAGCCTCCCGAGTAGCTGGGATTACAGGTGTGCACCACCATACCAGGCTAATTTTTGTATCTTTAGTATAGACAGGGTTTCACCATGTTGGTCAGGCTGGTATAGAACTCCTGACTTCATGATCCACCCGCCTCAACCTCCCAAAGTGCTGGGATTACAAGCATGTGCCACTGCACCAGCCATTTTCTGACTTTTTAATGATAGCCATTCTAACTGGCGTGAGATGGTATCTCATTGTAGTTTTGATTTGCATTTCTCTAATGACCAGCAATGATGAACTTTTTTTCATATGTTTGTTGCCACATAAATGTCTGCTATTGAGAAGTGTCTTCATATCCTTTGCCCACTTTTTGATGGTTTTTGTTTGTTTTTTTCTTATAAATTTGTTTAGTTTCTCTCTAGAGTCTAGATATTAGTCCTTTGTCAGATGGACAGATTGCAAAAATTTTCTCCCATTCTGTAGGTTGCCTGTTCACTTCGATGATAGTTTATTTTGCTGTGCAGAAGCTCCAAATAGATTCCATTTGTCAATTCTGGCTTTTGTTGCCATTCCGTTTGATATTTTAGTCATGAAGTCTTTGCTCATGTGTATGTCCTGAATGGTAAGACATAAATTTTTCTTTAAACAATCACATATATTTTAAATAAATTAAGAGAAAAGGTACCAGTGTTTTACATTTATCTAGAAATTCACTATTTCCTATAATATCATTTCCCTTCAGGAAATACTAAAGGAATTCCTTTAGTATTTCTTACCGTAAAGGTCTCCTGGTGATAAACTCTCTTAGCCTTCGGAAATGTCTTTATTTTGCCTTCATTCTTGAGGGATAATTTTGCTATATAGAGAATTCTGGATTGACTTTTTTTTTGGCATATTAAAGATGTCGTTTCACTATCTTTTGGCCTCCATTGTTTATCAGAAATCAGCAAATATTGCTCCTTTGTTTCACGTGATGTGCCATTCTTATTTAGCTAATTTCGATTTTCCCCTTATTTATTAATTCATCAGTATAACTATGATGTCCCTAGGTATTATTCTGCTTGGCGTACGATGAGCTTCCTGAATCAAAAGTTTTATACTTTTCACATATTTGGGAATTTATTTCTGCTCCATTTACTCTCTTCCCTCCTAGAAGTGAGAGTACTAATTACTAGAGTAACTAGAACTCCAATTACTCCTACATTAGATATTTTGATACTTTTGAACCAGTCCTTGAGACTGTTCAATTTTTTTTCTGTGCCATTTTTTTCTCTCTTTTCTTTAGATTGGATCGTTTTCATTTGATCCCTTTTCAAATTCATGGACTTTTCCCTATGTTGTCGCTATTCTGCTAGAGGATCAATTTTTATTTCAAGATTTTACTCTTTAGTCTAGAATATTTATTTGGTTCCTTTTTATTTTTTCTTTTTGAGATGGAGTCTTGCTGTGTCACCAAGCTGGGGTGCAGTGGCATGATCTTGGTTCACTGCAATCTCCGCCTCCCAGGTTCAAGCAATTCTCCTGCCTCAGCCTCTTGAGTAGCTGGGACTACCATTGAATTTGGTTGCTTTTTAGTTTGTATTTTCCTGATGAAATTTTACAACTTTTTATTCATTAGGAGCATCTTTTCCTTTACATGACTGAGCATGGATAAAATTCTTCCCTAATTCCAACATCTGGGTCATTTGCTATTCTCCTTTTGTAAGTGTTGACTCTCCTCCAGAATCTGCCTCTTTATTTGCCTCCAAGTATTTGTCCTATGTGCAAGTGTGTGTGGGTGTGTGGGTTTTCAAACTCTTAAATGTCTCAGCAAAGGGTGGCTTATCTGATGGTGAGATCCTGAAAAAGAGAGAATAAACATTTTCATCCTGCTGTTTTTAACCCATGAAAGTGCAGGAAGAGGTTGACTGCATTCTCTATAGTAGGTCAAGCTGGCTCTGTGGCACAATAGATAGTGCATTGTCTACAGGAGGCCTTGTGTACATACATGTGCACTCACATATGGGACGGAGCCTACAATCTTTGCTGACAACAGCATGCAGTGTGCAAATCTCTGTAGCTCAGACCCAGAACCTGAAAAATTTAGACCTAACATTACTTTGGCCCAGTAAGAATGTTAGCTGGAAATTAGTTTATAGGCCAGGAGCTATTTTTTAAAGATCTGTAGGCTTGCTAGCCATGACAATGGTGATAATAATGATGATGACAATGACATCATCATCACCAATAGCTGCTCCCATCAATTGATCTCATAACATGTGATCATATGTTATCTCTGTCCTCACAACAATCCATTTCACAGTTGATGAAACAGACTCAGTGAGCACATGACCACTTCTCACAACTAATGGAGCCAGGATTCTGTCCTTATGGCCCAAGCGATATTTTTTTTTTTCCCCCACTGTACCACAACACTCACCAGGACTGGGGTGCCACCTATTACCTCATTGATAGTGGAAGCGTTGTCCTCAAATGGGCCTGGGGATATGTACATACATACTTATGTTTACAGGGGAGAGGGCAACTTGTTCCACCTTCCTCCACCCTAACTTCAGATCTCAGCTGTGGAGTGGAAACTCCATACTCATGCCATAGCTATAGCATTGGAGGGAAAGGGGAGAAAATAACTAAAGAGTAAGGAATTGGGTGAAGCTTTGAGGTTTGGATGTGACAGGTAGTTTGCACATAGTTGGAATGCAGTAACATTGGCTCACAAGGTTTGTCAGAAACCCTGATTATTTTGGAAGTTTCCAAAGTTTGGTCCCCTCCAGATATGATGAAAACAGGAAATTCAGTAAACATGGCCACTGAAAGCCTAGCTCGTTTCTTGGAAAAAAAGTTTCTGGAGAGTTCTCAGAGCACATAAATAGCAGGGCTGTAAAGACAAAGGTAACCGTTCAAGGAATGGAGAAGTTCTCAAAAATTACAGCCAGGCCAGAGCTGTGGTTCAGAAAGGGGGTTTTATGTTGTTTCTGTTGTTTCAGTTTTGGCCTCAGAAAGGATGTGCAGCCCTGCTGTAAACAGCCTCTCAGCACTTGGCAGGGATGTGCCCACAAGGCTGGTGTAGATATCCAGGGCCCAGCTTAGACAGGAAGGCCCAGGGACCCACAGGGAGCCCTGGTTTGAGAGAGAAGTTTTTCTTTTCAGAAGAGAGCACCTGGGAGATATTTCCAGAGAGCTCGTTGTGACCTGTCATTAGCTCTTCCCCCATGTTTTCTGCAGCTGGAGTTACCATGCACCTTTGGTGGACCAGGAACCCAAGATTTGAGGTGGACATTAATCCCAGCTGGACACTCTCAATGCTGAGGATGTAGACAGACAAACCAATGCGGGGAGCCCTAGTACTACCAGGAGCCATTGGTGGAGAAATCTTCAGATCCTGCCAGGCCCATAGCTGTTGCCTTTGTGGGCTCCTGGGTTCTGCACATCAGTGGTGCACCCTAGGATACCCTCACTGCATTGCACACTCCCGGCCATGCTCCATGGGCAGCCATTATTTCCAGTAACTGCCAATGGGAGCCAGTCTCCAAAGAGTAAGGAATCAGAGGTGTTGCTTGGAGTGTGTTAAACTAGGACTTTGCTGATCCCACAGGCTCCTTTCCAGATGAGCTGACCCTAATCTCTGGGAAGCTGGATCTGTAGGAAAAATGGGATGGGATTTGAGGTGACCCTTCCTGCCCTTCTTGAGCAGCTTGTGAACCAGAAGACGTGCCTGGAGGGAAAGCCTCATTTGGGGAAGTGCAGTACATGAAGTTTTTTATTTTGAAAATGGAGAACAATCCTCCTCACAGTTCTGTCTCCCCTTCCCCTTTTCCAACTAGAATACCAGCTCCTCTGCACATCAGTCAGTCACATTTCAGGGAAAAC